GGAGGGGAGGGGGTGGGGGTGGGGTGATTGTGCGGAGGTGGTGTGGGGGATACAAGTGGACAATGATACAGGGACGTAGATAGAGACAGGAAGAGAAAAGGCCAGCCGACCAAACACTAACCGCACTTTCATGGGGCACTTTTAAGTAAAGAAAGAAAGGAAGAAAGAACAGGAAATCATTTTGTGTTCGTGTAGTAATGCGAAATGGTTTTGTTCTGGTACCTATGAAGGTCGACGTACTTCATTGATTTTTCTTTCTTTGATTGGAAGTGCCTTCCCACCATTTTCTCCCTCACTTCTTCCATCGATCAAGTCGCCCGACTACGTGCTGAAGGCTGAGACACACACACACACACACACACACACACACACACACACACACACACACACACACACACAGAGAGAGAGAGAGAGAGAGAGAGAGAGAGAGAGAGAGAGAGAGAGAGAGAGAGAGAGAGAGGATATATTGGGGTGGGTGGGTGGTGTAGAAAGACATAGAAACAGAGGTGGGTGAAAGAGGGTGTAAAGGGTTTGGTGGTGAGATGGCCTAACATATGGTAGGCCTACTATAGGGAATCAAACCTTTTTAGTGTCTCCCAGACGATACCAGAGTTTTTGATGTCTACAAAAAGGATCATAGGTGGGCAATCCATCTTAAAACAAGCAGAGGCTTAAGAAATCCTATATACCTTTATCTTCATGAATATACATATTATTGCGGTTTTCTCTTTAAGATACCGCTCCATGGGTAGTTTGCGGGTGCTCTAGTGTGGTTTGCCGCTTCTTTCTTATCCCCTTTTTCTCTCCTTCTTTTTTTTTTGTATTTGTTACCATCTTTATCGGCACGTATAGGCCTATAACTTTATTGTGCTGCAAGTGCTGTAAAACTCTAACTTTAAAACTATAAAAACACAGTCTTTCCCTCTTATATTTACTACATGCAATATGCTCTTTGTCCATAGAGTCACCATGGTATGTGTTAGTAATGATCAGTTAATGAGTGAATGGGTCTGGAAGGGAAGGAGTGTATGAATGCAGGAAGGAGGGAGGGAAAAAGTGTATGGATGTGATAGGAGAATGGGAGGGACTATGAGCATGGGTGGGAGAATGTGATGTGCAGATATGCTGCCATTTTTTTCTTGGTCACAGAATCTGGCGAAAGCACACTCTAAATTTCTGTCAGGAAATGGAGAAATAATAACGTATGTTTTCATATTGATTCAACAGCTATGCGCAAACTTCCAATAGGCTGTGCTCATTTGTTTTGCTCTCGAAAAGTCATTCGTTAATAATGTTCGATATGGATGAAGAAGTAGTTTTCAGGAGAAAGGAACCAATGCACGGTTTCCCCCCCAGTAATTAGTTCAGCTTGTGTGTGTGTGTGTTTGTGTGTGTGTGTGTGTGTGTGTATGTGTGTGTGTGTGTGTGTGTGTGTGTGAGAGAGAGAGAGAGAGAGAGAGAGAGAGAGTCAGAGAGAGATGGAGAGAGTGTGTTTGTGTATGTGTGTGTTT